ATTGTATTAATTATAACCAGTCCTAAAGGATTAAGATTTAAACTCCAGAACTTTTGCTTTAGCAAATGTGTTCACAAATATGTAGTCCCACTATAAGCCTTTCATTTGCATATTATTTACATTTGAATTTATATGAATATCTAATATATCATTTGTTAATATTATTCCTAGTCCAAAGCAAAATGATGATATGAAACCCATTGTATTACTAGAAGGAAATAACAAATGAAAATTTCCAATAAAACAGCTTGCTTATAGTAATACAAATAATAATAGGGCAATGTCTGCCAGCAATTATACATTGATTTTTTTAATACGAATTTTCAACTTAGTGTTATATATATAAAGTTCAAAACAAACAATTTTTAAAACATCTTATGTTAGGGTTTAACCTTCAACTTTCGTATTGTGTAACTATTACTTAAAATCTTCTATAGTGTTGAAATAAAACAGTACTATATTTATCATAGTAGAACATTATAATGATAAGGGAAGAATCAAGAATATGGGTTTTTGTCAATATACGCATACCAGCATACAAATGTAGATCAAGGTTAGAAAAGCATGGCTGATACCCAGAGGCGTAGCGACCCTTCCCGGCGCCCGGGGACAAACTTTTCGATCTGCACCCCCCCTCGAGATTTCGATTTGCACCCCTCCCTCAAACTTTCGATTTGCACCCCTCCCTCGATATTTCGATTTGCACCCCCCCCAAACTTTCGATTTGCACCCCCCTCAACCTTTCAATTTATTTTTCCAACCCATTTTGGCGCCCCCTAAGGTCGGCGCCCGGGGACATATGTCCCCCCGCCCCCCCCCCCCCCCCGCTACGCTACTGCTGATAACTAACCATCAACCAGTGCTGTAGCCAGGTTATTTAAAACTTATTAAAACGCCCCCTTTCCCACAAATTAATTACTAAAACATATTTATAAGAAAACAATTAATTAAAAGTGGCATATTTATTTATTATCAATTGCATACACGTTATAAGTAGACATCAAAATAAAATTTTAGTTGCCTCTTCGTCACAAAAGTTTGTACTAATTCCTTCAATTCCAGTTTGCAAGCGTAATCATATTTTATTGAAATTGTCAGCTAAGCCCACGAATCTACTTTGTACTTAACGACATAGCACCCCCCCCCTTAGAAAATTTTAAGTGCCCCCCCCCCCCTCCCGGGAGAAAAAAGTCTGGAAAAAAACACTGGAAAAAAGTTCTTGTAGTGTTGGGCTCACTGCAGTCCTCCCAAGGTGAATTCCTAAACGGAACTTACCTGTTTTATGCTTGACTGTCTTTAGTTATAATTGTAAAATGTCTATATTGTGTGATTATGTAACGATTTTTTTTGTTTTTGAAAAATAAAAGATTATAAATGAGATAGATTCGAACCTCCGTTGTTATATATGAATGAATCCTTTAGGAGAGGGTGAAAAATATGATTAGACAATTAATTAGATGTTTAATTCACGACTAACACTGTATGTCTACTAACATTAGGTAATGCAATCTACAACAGCTACTGATGTATTTGTTTTTCAACTTGATAATGTTAAAAAAACAACTACCAAAGTATTTTGTTTAGAACTTTTAAGCTCTATATAATTTTTATAATAACTTAAAGTTGTATTTATGTGTAAGCGGTCATCTTAGGGTGCAAGATTTTAAAATGAATATAAAGTCAACCAACGAATTATCTCCTATTTAAAATAAAAATAACAAAATTTTATTCAAGGGAAATAACTTTCACAAGAAAAACACAATAAAACGCTCTAAATTTCATTACGTAATTATTATAACAAATCTTTTATGTTATCTTTGTACATTTATAAAAAATATATATTTTACCTATTGGATACTTAACTGTAGGTTTTGTTTGAAAGCCTAAAAACGATAGCTTTATTATGGCATACTTCAATTCAATTTTGATGACATTCATTCAATGTCACTATATCTGCCACTTGAACCGTGTAACATTATGGACCCCATATATTAAGGGACGTCTTTCAGAATATCAAATTCGGGCAACTGGTTTAGACTTTGTTAGACTTAGTGATTAAATATACAAAAAAATTAATTTGAAAAAAAAAGTCTAAAAATGGTAGCTTTATTATAGCATACTTGAATTCAATTTTGATTAAATTCATTCAATGTTATTCATATCATCAGGTAAACTATATAAAATTTTGGATCCCATAAATTAAGGGACATCTTTAAGAATATCAAACACGGGTAACTGCTTTAGACATTGCTAGAATTGGTGATTAAATGTAAATAAAATTAATTTGAAAAAAAAAAAACAACAAAGCTACGGTTAATTATAAATTCTATCCTATTTAATATTATATATTAACACTATAAGAGTGGTAATACAGATCCCTAAAAAACTTTTTTTAAAAGATTTTTCAACTAGAAAACGCCTACTTTTCTTTGTAGTGTGTTCAGTACTGAATTGAAATCATCTAACTTACGATAAACTCGACTACTCGATATACTCTACTACATTCACAACACATATCAAACTTTGATACCTAAACATAACTAGACTCGATGCTCCAGAACTACGACACCAACCCGATTAACTTCATCAAGCTCTACAAACGAACTCCAAATCAACAACGATTTCATTGGACCTACTACCTACACTTTAACAGTCAATATAATTCGATACCTTAATACCACAAGACTCGATACTCCCGAGGTCCAGAACTACGATACTTTATCACTTGCTTTCTCATTTCTCTATTACCAATCAGATTCCACTACAAAACAGCCGAATAAAAATAATGACACTTTAACACTTCGATACTTTATACCTACGATACCATATCAGCAACAGCCTTCCACCGTTACTCCCAAATCTAAACGATCCATCAAAACTTACCAAACAAGTACAATACTTTGAAAACTCCGTCATTACAAAACTCTAAACACCAGGACCGATTTCTAATTCAAAGTCAGAGAAAACGAGACTTACAAGCCCTATTAAAATTAGATAATCGTTTGAAATGTTCGAAATTTAAATTACGAACTTATTTAATCGTTTTCTACATCAATTATATGACACCACATTAAAAAGGCAAAGTCACTCGTAAAAAGCGCCCCAACCTTTCCAAATTAGTGAGGTGGAGTTGCATTTTCACAATCGCGAATAAATTTAGGCCTAGATAGACCTAATTTTGGGGTGGGGGTACAAAACTGATAGTTCGTCTTGTGTGCAGAGATAAACCGCTACTCTTTTATAAAAGTTATTAATTATTAGGTACTTTTTGATTTGATAATAGCGATTAAACCTTTTTGCGCCCCCGTAGGGAGGCGCCCTAGGCGACCGCCTAGTTTGCCTGATAGGTAGCGCCGGCCCTACCATCAACCACAAATACAGCAAACTTTAATCACTGCCTGTTTCTTGGTAATGTGTTGTTATTGGACGTGCAAGTTTATGAACATTATGTAATTCTTTAAGACTGTTGCTGATTAGATGCATTCCAGATATTTAATGAAAAGATGTTTCTATAAGGATAGGCAGTTATAGCAAATGAGGTTAGGGGGAATGTTGAACTAACTTAGCGCCCCGGGCTATCCCGTGAGCTGGCGCCCGACAGGTTGCAATTTAGCGCCCCTGGCTATCCCGGCAGCGCTATGACGCTTACATTCGTTTTAAAAAGTGTGATGGCATATGGATAAGATGTAGTTTTATAATCCTTCACTAAACTGAATCAGGCGCGTCTAAGCGCGCCCCGGCAGGGTACGATACCCCCCGGATTATCTTGAGGCTTTTTTAACACCGCGGCAACGCGCGGGGACGGGCACGCTAGTTTTAATAAAAATCAATTAAAAATTTAAAAAATACTATCACTAAAGGGAAATAACTAGGTAATAACGACCAGTCTGGTGCAATGGTGATCGCTAAAACTGTTCACACATTTTCTAGCATATACTGACGCTAACAATGGGTAAGTAGTTCTCATTAAAAGCTTCAAATCGTTTTTAAAACAAATATTTTTTGTCGTGAGGACTGAATAAAGAACAGGAGGGAGGGGATATAAAGAATTTTGTAGGATACACACAGTCAAATCGATCAATAGCAAGATCGTTTTTTTAGTTTCAATGACTTGGTTCAACGTTCACATAGCATACTGAATGAAATGAATGACAGGAGTGTTTCTATCTTTTTACGTGTAGAGGGGATGGAAGCAGGCGTTGTTACTGAAATAGCAATATTAACAGAAAGTGATATTTCAACGCCAAGTCTAGACAAAGGTACAGAATATAGTCCAAGTAGAGACAGAACAGTCAAACCCAGAGGGGTCCGAACCAGCCTATTCACGCGGCACCAAATCGCCTCGCCGTCCATGCATCAAGTCAGACGTGTAACCGTTTCTGCCAATCAGCTTTACATGGCCCATATCATGCTTGTGTCGTTTGTGATGCACAAACGATGCACCAAGTGAACGCCAAATAAAAACGCGTATAATAGTGCGCAATATTATTAGTACTTTTAAAATTTACATTAGTTTTTTGAGAAATCGGAAGTAGCGTAAATTACTACTTCCAGTCAACGAAAATTACTCAAAATTTAACAGAAGGTAGAGAATTAGATCTTTTACTTACATGTGAAATTTCATTTATCTATCTGAAATAGTACTCAAGTTATAGGCTTTTGAAAAATTCAAAGTAGGAAAAGTACCACTTCCGGTTGTCGGAAATCGCTCAAAAGTTGATACGGATCTACGATTTTGATATAATACTTATATATGAAATTTCATCAACCTAGCTGTAACGGTACTTAAGTTATCGTGTTTACACACGGACACACAGACACACAGACACACACACACACACAGACATACGGACAAGATTACAAAATTATGTTTTTTCCGTATCAGTGAGGTGTAAAACGTCGAGATCTGTAAAAATCGCGATTTTTTTTGCACGATTACAATACTTTCTCTATACTTCGTATATACGAGAAAGTAAAAAACCAATAAGATAATATAAAACAAACTTGTGTTTTTAGGCAGAATAGTACAAGTGTTGATCGTTAAAAACGCGTTAAAATGTTGTTATGATTATTTAATTTTAACAACACAAAAAATAAACCGGGAGTGATCTCCCCTAAACTTTCTCGAATATTCTTATATAAAACAACAAGGGATGGGAACTCGGGCTATAGACATGATTTTTAATCCATTTTAAATACTTAAAGTTTTTAAAATAGAATAAAATCTCGTAGACAAAAGAATTGCACACCAAGTGAACGCCAAATAAAAAAGTGCATAATAGTGCGCAATATTATTAGTACTTTATAAATTTACATGCGTTTTTTGAGAAATCGGAAATAGCGTAAATTAGTACTTCCGATCAACGAAAATTACTCGACATTTGACAGAAGGTAGAGAATTAGATCTTTTACTTACATGTGAAATTTCATTTATCTATCTGAAATAGTACTCAAGTTATAGGCTTTTGAAATTCAAAGTAGAAAAAGTACCACTTCCGTTTTATGAAATCGCTCAAAAGTTGATACAAATCTACGATTTTGATAAAATACTTATATATGAAATTTCATCAACCTAGCTGTAACGGTACTCAAGCAATCGTGTTTACACACACACAGACAGACACACAGACATACGGACAGGATAGCAAAGCCCAGTTTTTCAGAATGGATTACACATAAAAGCTCTTAATTTTGTTTAATCTGGATTGGTTATTTTTTCCCGATTAAAATAAGTCCTCTATACTTCGGATGTGATGAAGGACTGAGGTGTAATACGGTGAAAATTGTTAAATTTTCAAGAGGTTTTTTTGCACGATTACAATACTTTCTCTATACTTCGTATATACGAGAAAGTAAAAAAATTGGTGAAATTAAATAATCCGTTTTCTCATAAAAAACCTAACAGTGAGTTTGTCGCTTTGAGATAAAAAGCTTTGAACTTAACAGCGTAGTTTTAACAAAGTATCATAAATAAAACATATAACAAAATTGTTAAAACACGTTGAATCAGATGTTTGCAAGAAGCAAAGAATAATGTGTAATAGTTATGACAAAGAAGCGGGAGTTATCTGCCCTAAACTTTCTCGTATATTACATGTTGTAAATATAATAAAATCGCGTAGAAAAAAAAAATTGTGCACCAAATCAAAAAAAACAATATTGCTGCAAATTAGTGCTTTATAAAAGAAACATTAAAACATTTGTAAAAATTTAATTAAACATCTAATCCAGACAAATTGTAGACCACAATACATTATCATCGAGTCTAGAACTACGATAAAAGTTATGAAGAAATCGCTCCGATTGAAGAGATCGTCTTTCAGAAATCAAAAATAGCGTAAAGCAATATTTCCTTTTACCGAAAATCACTCAAAATTTGTCAGAATGAAAAGAATAAGACATTATACTTCATTTAGCTTCATAAAGTATATTATAGTACCACTTTCGGTTTCTGAAAATCGATCAGAAATCTAACAAAACATGCACATACAATGTGATACATATATGTGAAATTTCGTTCAATTAACCTAACATGGCTTTTAAAAAAAACGGAAGTAGAGTAATTACAACTTTCAGTTAACGAAAATTCCACAAAAATTTGCTACATAACTAGAAACGTAATATTATTCCTATAAATAAAATTGCGTCAAAATGACTGAAACGGTACTCAACTTATCGTGTTCACAAACACAAAAAGACAAAATTAGTAAACTCAAGATTGGTTAAAATCCCGAATTCGATTTTTGTTTTTGCACGATTACAAAACTTTCTTTATACTTCCTATGCGAGAAAGTAAAAAGGATCTCAGTATATCAATATTTTCCAACGTTTTATAGTAACTTCATATAACAGAGAATCACTTAAGCTGTTTAACTTTTCAATTATCAATGCACTTAAAATATATGACTATAGATTTGGGATAAAACAGGTAATATTTTGAAAAAATATAGAAAGGTTGAAAGTTCCAACTACATACCGCTTAGAAAAGTATGTTAAAAGATAATCAAAATTTTTATTGCTTGTTGAGAAATCAGAAATAGCGTAAATTACTGTTATACCTTAAAATATTAGGGAATCTAGTGCATCAGATCATACATGTCTTTTTTCGTAACTTAAATTCAGAGGAGTCTTCGCGAAACATTGTCAGAAGGAAATGCAGACAAAATTGCGAAACTAAGTTTTTAAGACTGATAGAGTTATACAACGTCGGTATCAAAATCTTATTTCAATGTTTTTGGTACGATTACAATAACTTCTGTATACTTTGTGAAAGTTAAAATCAATTAATAAAATCCGTATTCTGTAACTTTTACTTAAAATTGATGCAACAGTGACTATTTAACTAATACTGCTGCCTTGTTGCAAAAGAGGTTTAAAATTCGAAAATTCATAAGCATTAAAAAAAATATATGATACTTTTTTTAAAACTAGCTAAGCAGTGTGGCATTTTTTTAATTTTAAATGAAGAAAATAAAGAAAAATATCACGTAGTCGCATATCAGTGTATTTGTCTAGAATGTCATAAAACAAAACAGTTCTTGTTTCAGCCGTATCAAACTGTAGGCCTCTCATAGATGTGGTAATCTGTTATCAAAAGAAGCATCAACATAACTGATACTGGTTATTTGTGTGCTTAAAAATATAGTTGTATGTGAAAAATATAATTGAAAATAATAAAAATTCCAAAACAGGAAATTCAACGAACTAGATCGCTAAATTACTTCATATGAATCAGTATCGCCAAGCTAGCACAAGGCTTGAACAGAATTGTCGCTGCCATTGAGACAGCTTTGATTTATTGTAAACTAAATAGTTTGAAACTTTGTGTAACATAATAAGGCAGTTTACCGGATTCTGCTTGATTATAAACGTTCGTTATTTCTACATCAGCTGAAATATTGAATGCATATTATAATGTTTACTTAGAATAACTTTGTGTCATAACAAACATTTAAATATGTTCTACATTGTTAAAAGGAATGGTTAAAAAATATGTACACATAGATATATTTATATATTTTAAATTGTAAATGAAATTTTAAATTGGAGTACCTGTACGTGCATCGAATTCTATCTTTACTTTTCGTTGCTTACTTGTGCATTGATGAAAATACCTTAAAATTAAAGAGTGAATATCAGCTTGTAATTAGTAATACGTATTATAGAATACAGCTCTATTTGATTATAAACATAATCAGCGTGGTAAATGGCAAAGACTTGAAATAAATTATCTGCTAATTATTCGTGCATGCATTTTTATTTGCTATAATTCTCTTATTTTACGTAAAAAGCATAGTCAGTAAAACATTGAACCTTTTTATAAGGATCCCAACTACAACTCCAAAAACAAATGTGAGAACACTTGTTATCGACGTGATGACAATAGATGTGATTGGTTGGCATGTTGCTGTAATATCTATTTTAAAATCTAAAAAAAACAGTATAAAATATTCAAACCAAAAATAAGAATGCTGAAACATAAATTATATGCCGTAGTTTCATAGTTTGATCGGCTCATGTTTTGTTAGGTTTATTTATGATTATATAGGTTTGGTCAATGTGACTAGGCACTGCACTTCGAAAAATTGAAGCTTACTCTAGCCTACGTAACAACATAAGTGTTAGCAATTGCATCACATTTATCGAACTAGAGTTCACTTTTCTTCGTTGGTGATAAATCTTTATGATGAGTTGCAGATTTTTGTTTTGTCTGTTAAAGATATTTCAGGTTTTAACATAAAATGTCTAAAAAAAAGATATATAAAACGGGTAGTTTGAGTTGGGACACGCAAGCATGGGACAGCACATTATTTCGAATATTGTGGATAAAATCGGAATTTACCGATGTAAAAGCTATTAGCATGGGCGAGTGATTAAAACCAAAACAACCAAAATGATTTTTTCTAAACCTAGCGCTATAATATTTAGCATATAGTTATGACTCAAAGAGTTAAATCTACAAATTAAAAAATGGCTGAAATTTAATGCGTTACCATAGTGATGGCAGCCATATTGGAGTTTATTTACTTTTTAACATCAAAATAACTCACGGATGGCTCATGCGAATTCAATAAACATTTGCAAGATTATAGAGATACATGTTGTTAACAATCGTGTTACATTATATTTCCACATTTTTAAATACTTTTATTTTTGCTATTTTGTTTCTGAAATTAAACATAAATATCGAAATTTGTCGAAAAACTGCACAATTTTAACTGTAAAAGAAAACCCCCACCAAACCTATTTTGATATTTTAAACAGCGGATAAAATCAGCCTTTACCTTCTAAACATTGAGTCCCACTGAACCCATTTTGACACCCGTGGAGGCAGTTGCCAGTCACGTGATGGCAGGTGTCGGCGTATTGGTTTAAACAGGTGGCACTACAGTTTTGGGAGCAGTTTTCTCCAAATGTGTTCGATAAACATTCTGTAGAAATAGTTGTGGGCCTCTATTTAATATTACACGACACACTCATTATTTACTGCCTTCAGAGTAGCTTGCATTTTATGTAACTTGTATTTAAAATAATTTATTTTAAAAATGATTCGATAACAGTGTATGTTTAAAATTAATGTTCTCATTGTAAACCGAAATGTTTAACGTAAAATCTAAATTATATTATTACCATCTCTGCACATTTCTCCCCTATATCCATCATCACAGCCAAGTAAACAAGTTCCATTCTCTGGTCTACAGTCGTTAGTTTCTCCTTTACACGTTGACTCACATTTGCTGGCACATTTTGGGCCATATAATCCTGGTTTACAGTCTGAGAATTCGGAACCACATTACTAGTAAATGCATTTTGTTGTAGAATCAAGCACATATCAGAATATGTTTGATCATGTTACTTCAATATTTATCTATGTTTAGCCCCTGTTTTTTTGTGTTAATGAATATAATTCTGTCAACATCAATCCCTACTAAAGTCTGAGGCTAATACGACACTAGTATACGATTTTTCGTAAAAATAAAACTAAAAACTTACCCTTTTCACAGAAGTCTCCAGTTTTGCCAGGAAGACACTCCTTACATTTACCATCAACATTATCACAAGACTGATTCACGCAGTTCATGCTACAGCTGGCCTTACAATCTACACCGTAGAATGTTTCTCTACATGCTGGCAACATGAAAACACAATACATGATTAGGTACCTGGTTCTTATCTAATGGTGCTACTACGTAAAACATTATTTGTAAGGTATTTGGTACATGATACGAAAGTTCACAAATTAAATACAATAATTTATTTATTGTTAATCAGCATATCCTCTCGGTGGTTACCCTTAATATTAATACGGAGTATGAAATTGTTTTAAAAAAATATAATGGTCTTCAAATCAGCAAAAAATACACATTTGTTTAAAATAAACCGGGAGTGATCTCCCCTAAACTTTCTCGAATACTTTTATATAAAATAACAGGGGATGGGAACTCGGGCTATAGACATGATTTTTAATCCATTTTAAATACTTAAAGTTTTAAAAGTAGAATAAAATCTCGTAGACAAATTAATTGCACACCAAGTGAACGCGAAATAAAAAAGCGCATAATAGTGCGCAATATTATTAGTACTTTTAAAATTTACATTAGTTTTTTGAGAAATCGGAAGTAGCGTAAATTACTACTTCCGGTCAACGGAAATTACTCAAAATTTAACAGAAGGTAGAGAATTAGATCTTTTACTTACATGTGAAATTTCATTTATCTATCTGAAATAGTACTCAAGTTATAGGCTTTTGATAAATTCAAAGTAGAAAAAGTACCACTTCCGGTTATCGGAAATCGCTCAAAAGTTGATACGGATCTACGATTTTGATAAAATACTTATATATGAAATTTCATCAACCTAACAGTAACGGTACTCAAGTTATCATGTTTACACACGGACACACAGACACACAGACACACACACACACACAGACATACGGACAAGATTGAAAAATTATATTTTTCCGTATCAGTGAGGTGTAAAACGTCGAGATTTGTAAAAATCTCGATTTTTTTTGCACGATTACAATACTTTCTCTATACTACGTATATACGAGAAAGTAAAAAAAGCAATAACACAATAAAAGTATTAAAAAAATGCATAAAAAACGTTTTAATAACAAGCTTTTATGTAATGATGCACTAAAAAGTAGAAAATAAATTATAGACTACTATTTAAATAACTATAAAGAAAAGCGTGGGTCACTTTAGTATCTATTGGATACCTTTACTAATGTTAAGGAAGACACCCACGCTTTTCTTTATAGTTATTTAAATAGTAGTCTATAATTTATTTTCTACTTTTTAGTGCATCATTACATAAAAGCTTGTTATTAAAACGTTTTTTATGCATTTTTTTCAGTACTTTACATGTTTTATTTACAATAGAGTTACATGACTAAAAACCATTGCGCGCCTACTGAACATCACGTTCAGTAGGCGCGCAATGGTTTTTGAACGCAGCCATTACGTGATGGCGCAGCTATTGAAGGTGATGACGCGTGTGGTGTGGTTGGCTAGACATGCCTACTAATTCGGTCCAAATTTTAATTAATTCATAAAAAATTAATCAGGCATCCAATTAAGTCAAATTTAGTTTCAGATTGCATTGTCTTCATGTCTTGACCCACGTGCTAACTTTGAATCGTATCGGTCAAGTAGAACTGTCCGAATTTTCACTCCTGCGTTTCCGTCTAGACAGACAGACAGACTGTCGAGGAAGTGAGTTAAATAAAAGCTTGTAAAAAAATTCATAAAAAACGTTTTAATAACAAGCTTTTATGTAATGATGCACTAAAAAGTAGAAAATAAATTATAGACTACTATTTAAATAACTATAAAGAAAAGCGCGGGTGTCTTCCTTAACATTAGTAAAGGTATCCAATAGATACTAAAGTGACCCACGCTTTTCTTTATAGTTATTTAAATAGTAGTCTATAATTTATTTTCTACTTTTTAGTGCATCATTACATAAAAGCTTGTTATTAAAACGTTTTTTATGAATTTTTTTTTATGAATTTTTTTTTCAGTACTTTACATGTTTTATTTACAATAGAGTTACATGACTAAAAACCATTGCGCGCCTACTGAACATCACGTTCAGTAGGCGCGCAATGGTTTTTGAACGCAGCCATTACGTGATGGCGCAGCTATTGAAGGTGATGACGCGTGTGGTGTGGTTGGCTAGACATGCCTACTAATTCGGTCCAAATTTTAATTAATTCATAAAAAATTAATTAGGCATCCAATTAATTCAAATTTAGATTCAGATTGCATTGTCTTCATGTCTTGACCCACGTGCCAACTGTGAATCGTATCGGTCAAGTAGAACTGTCCGAATTTTCACTCCTGCGTTTCCGTCTAGACAGACAGACTGTCGACAGAGGAAGTGAGTTAAATAAAAGCTTGTAAAAAAAATTCATAAAAAACGTTTTAATAACAAGCTTTTATGTAATGATGCACTAAAAAGTAGAAAATAAATTATAGACTACTATTTAAATAACTATAAAGAAAAGCGTGGGTCACTTTAGTATCTATTGGATACCTTTACTAATGTTAAGGAAGACACCCACGCTTTTCTTTATAGTTATTTAAATAGTAGTCTATAATTTATTTTCTACTTTTTAGTGCATCATTACATAAAAGCTTGTTATTAAAACGTTTTTTATGAATTTTTTTTTCAGTACTTTACATGTTTTATTTACAATAGAGTTACATGACTAAAAACCATTGCGCGCCTACTGAACATCACGTTCAGTAGGCGCGCAATGGTTTTTGAACGCAGCCATTGAAGCTATTGAAGGTGATGACGCGTATGGTGTGGTTGGCTAGACATGCCTACTAATTCGGTCCAAATTTTAATTAATTCATAAAAAATTAATTAGGCATCCAATTAAGTCAAATTTAGTTTCAGATTGCATTGTCTTCATGTCTTGACCCACGTGCCAACTGTGAATCGTATCGGTCAAGTAGAACTGTCCGAATTTTCACTCCTGCGTTTCCGTCTAGACTGACGACAGACAGAGGAAGTGAGTTAAATAAAAGCTTGTAAAAATTGTTTTAATCTCAAATGAAATCTTCCAAGACCTTTGCAATTTTTTGGCTTTATTTCATCCGTCTTAGAGCTTCAGTCTCTCTTTTACCAAGTTTTCTTTTAAATTGTTTTAAATTGTGAAACTGTCCGCACTACACTGTAGTAGGTTTTGGTTTATTAAAAAGATAAAAATCCCATGAAGATTTTCTTCAACTGGTACATTTAGGGCGGCGTCAATTTAAAAAGTAGCTTTGAGTAGAACCAATAGGGAAACAAATAAAAGAGACACACCTGAATAATGGGTACCGGCGGCTCCGTTTTCGACTTTAGATGGGTACTCAGCGCCTGAAATTATACGAGAACAGAATCTGGATTATAAAGGTTAAAATTATCTTTGAACATACAAGACTGTATAGGATGAATTAGGATTTAAACTATCTCTAAAAATACAAATCTGTGAATACTCAGCGTAGAGGCGTAGCGAGGGGGGGGGGGTTACATATGTCCTCGGGAGCCGACACTAGGGGGCGCCAAAATGGGTTGGGAAAAAATAATTAAAAGCTCATTTTAGCTGCAGTTTTGTATTATAAATATTTAAAAAAATATGGGGGGGGGGGCGCAAAATTGAAAGTTTGTCCCCGGGCAACGGGAAGGGTCGCTACGCCTCTCAGCGTCTAAAAATATACGAGGACAGAATCTGGATTATAAAGGGGGTTACAATTATCTTTGAACAACATACAAGACTGTATATGATAAATTAAGATTTAAACTATTTCTGAAAATACAAATCTGTGAATTTAATGTTAAGGTTGAAAGTATCGCTAATTATTGAATATCCAGCAACACCTGGATTAGAGTTTTCACAGATGGCTCAGCTGAAGATGCCACAAAAAACGGCGGGGCTGGCATCCTTATTGAATGGCCAAGCGGAGAAAGCCTGGAAAAGGCAATAGCCACAGGCAGCCTATCCGACAAAATTTTAGGGCAGAAAAAGAAGCTTTAGAACACGCAGCAAACCTCCTGTCAGAACACCCTGAATCACCGAATAGTCAGATTGTATTTCTTACAGATGCCAAATCAGTCCTGCAATCCCTACAAAATCCGGAGTCCTATATTCAAACACTTATGACAGCACTAGAGAGGCTAAAAAATACCTGCAGCAGAATTGTGCTGCAGTGGATCCCGGGCCACTGCCAGATCCAGGGTAACGAGATCGCAGACCAGCTGGCAAAAATTGGGGGAAAGAAACCACAACCGGAAATTTCGCTACACCCAAAAGAAATAAAAAGAATAATTAAAAACAAACAAACGCAAATGTGGTCTGTCACACACCCTCACTACATTAAAGACGACGGCTATTACAATTTAACACGAAAACAACAATACATAATCTTTCGACTCAGAACAGGCCACAACAGACTAAATCAACACATGCACAAAAAACTGAAGGTTGGGTGTAGCGAAATGTGCCCTTGTGGCAAGGCCCCGGAAAACACAGAGCACGTACTCCAAGAATGTACTCTGTATAGCCAGGCAAGAGGCAGACACTGGCCCCAGCCCACCCCACTCAGGGAAAAATTATATGGGACACCTGACAAACTGGAAACCACAGTCCGGTTTGTCCACGAAGTTGGACTTGTTGTCTGAATCCTCCACCATATTCAAAAATTAAGAACGAAGAAGAAGATTGAATATTGGGTAAAAGATGTGTTCGGCAGAATAAACCAACTTCGCAAAGAATTAACTGTTTATTGGCAACTTTTTTTGTGTTAGAAGGGGGTGGGGGGGGGGGGGGGAGCTGCAGTGTAAATGTAAGGTACTCTTGCGAACTTGACTATCCATGGGGCAGGTGAAGTAGAGTTCACCAGTTTCATTGACCTCGGTAAATAAAAGGATTGTGTATAGTCAGCAAAATGCCATTGTCTTATGAATAGAATGATCAGTTAAAGTTAAAATTCATATCTTGTACGCTAAAGCTTCCATCTCAGACCTTAAGATCCATAGGGCAGATGAAGTTGAGTTTAAATGCTTCTTGACATCGGCATATGAAGGGATAGTGTGTTCAGCACTATGCTCAGTAGCTTTTACATTCCCCAGCGTGAGTCAGGTACCCATAAGAGCTGGGTGGACTCAAGAACATTTAACTGAAATGATCTCGGGATTTGAACTCGAGACTTTCGGGTTAGCAATCGTATGCTTTACCATCCAATCTCTCCGTTACTGGGCTGAAGTGTGACAACCCCCTAATGAGCTTAATGAATCGTCTTTATCCATATATTGAAATACTTTAGTACGTTTTCATCAAGTAACATTGAAATTACATACTAAAACATTTTTAAAAGAATTGTAATATTTAAAAAAAAATATTATTAATATATCGCTCCTCAACTTCAGACCCCCCCCCACACTACAAGCATAATCTGGAACTGACGTAATCCTAGACCACCCCAGTACACCTGGTACTCACTTGGGTCGAGAGCCTCCGCCTGCACCGTATCGTCCAGTGTGACGTCAGCACAGCTGAAAAAAATTCTTCCGTGTGGTGCGTATATGGCCTAGAACGGCATTAATACATATTATGTTATGGTATTAATATAACATGAATTGTTTTCACTATACCAAATACCCACCCTTCTCTGTCACAATATATTGTATTTCGAATAGCTGGATAAACAATAAACTATATATAAATACAAATACATAAAAAATGAATAAATAGTAAAGAAATATTAATATAAATGTATACCTGTAATAGATACTTCCCTGGTCTGCAAGTAAAAGAAAATGCTAGTCATTATAAATATATATATATATATATATATATATATATATATATATATATATATATATATATATATTTATATATATATATATATATATATATATATATATATATATATATATATATATATATATATATATATATATATATATATATATATATATATCAACTAAAAAATCTTACTCTGATGGAAACTTCAGGTAAAAAAAATGGAAACTTTGAAAAAAAAAATCTTACTCAGATGGTAACTTAAAAAGAAATCTTACACTGATGGTAATTTTAAAAAAAAAAGTCTTGCTCTGATGGAAACTTCAAGTAAAAAAAAGATCTTCCTCTGATGAAAACTTTAACACAAATAAACTTTACTCTCCTTAACAAAAAATCCTACCCTGATGGAAACTTTGAAAAAAAAATCTTACTCTGATGGTAACTTAAAAAGAAATCTTACACTGATGGTAGTTTTAAAAAAAAAGTCTTACTGTGATGGAAACTTCACAACCAGATACTTGTCTTCCAGTGTGCCATCCGGCCACTGTCCCAACAACGTAAAATCTTCTGTGGAGTCTATTTTCTTGATCCTGATGGTATATTTACCCTGTGTGAAAACATTGTTACATTTTATGATTACATGCAGTCAAAAAAATGTAAAATCTTCTGTGGAGTCTATATTCTTGATGTTGCTGTTATATTTACCCTGTGGGGAAAACAACGTTACATTGTATCATTTCTTAAAAACAGTCCAAACAACTTCAAATCATCTTGAGAATTTTCAATCCTGAAGTTAATAAAATATTTATCTTGTTGGAATTAAAATTCTTACTTTTATGATTTTTTAAAAACAGCTTACTCTCTATCACTGGATGCCAAATTTGCTCAACTCTAACTTCAGCTTAACCAACGTAACCTTAACATTGTGATCTTAACTATTCTGTGTCTAATTTAACAAAGCAGTTCACATGTTATAAAATGCTCAAATAAGTTTTTTTTAAAACTAGGGTCAATACAAGTAAAACATAGCAGTGACATTTTTTTTCTCCCGTTGTACTCGAATGAGAGGAGAAAGAAGTAACGAGCGTTGTTTATATATATATATATATATATATATATATATATATATATATATATATATATATATATATATATATATATATATATATATATATATATAATATATATACACATACAAACACAATAATATTGAAAGGTTGAAAAATAAATTGAAAGGTTGAGGGTGGTGCAAATCGAAAGTTTGAGCGGGGGGGGGGGGGGCGGGGGGGTGGGGGGTGCAAAACGAAATCTTGAGGGTGGGGGGGTGCAAATCGAAAGTTTGAGGGAGGGGGGGGTGCAAAAAAAATCGAAATCTTGAGGGTGGGTGCAAATCGAAAAGTTTGTCGCCGGGTAGGGTCTTTTTTTTTTTTTTTTTTTTTTCCCCAGACACGTAATTTATAGCGTCAGTTGTGTGTTCGCTTTAGTATTACAGTTTTCATCATCGGCTTGTGAGGAAAAAAAAATAAAAAATCAACCTGAAACTGAAAATGCAAATGTGTAATTAAATGATGATTCAATGGATTTTTTTTCTCGGCGTGCGTGGTGGGCTGAGGGGAAATGGGGGGGGGGGGGGGGGGGGTGGAATTTGGGTTTTTAAAAAAAGTCGCCGGGTAGGGTCGCTACGCCTCTGCTAACAAGCTAGAATTTTCGCTCCTAAATCTCCTACTACCGCTTGTTAAAATGGCTTTTTTTTCTGTTAGATCGATTACTACATCGGTCACTGATAGATTAAAGTTTTAAAAAATTATTTCGGCTTCCATTTCTTAAAATCAAATTAACAGACATATTTATTATGTATCGGTATTTAATTTAGTCTTTGCTATGCTACCGTATTCTACGAAACGACCTTCCTTTTCTAATAATTATTTTAACAGTCACCCTTCTAGTTTTATTTTCAAGTTGTTTCCCCTCTTTCTTATATTTATTCACCACCCTTCAAACTCCTTGCTGTAGCCTATACAAAAGCCTTTAAAAACAACACAATTTTTTTTTATAATAATGTAAACTCATTGCTTTGATCGTGGGATGGAGTGGTCTAGCGGTAGAGAGCTGGACTGCTAACCCGTAAATCTCGAGTTCGAATCTGGATCAATTCAGTTGACCATCCCTGAGTCTACCCAACTCTGATGGGTACCTAACTCACGTTAGGGAAAGTAAAGGCGGTTAGGCATAGTGCTGACCACACTATCCCTTCATATGCCGAGGTCACAGAAACAAGTGAACTCTACTTCACTTTCCCCATAGACCGACAGGGTTTGAAAGGGAACTTTACTTTTACTGCTTTGATCGTCTGTTTACCCTTCAACAATATAATCAAAGTTTCAAGAACGAAACGAGATTTTTTCATTAAGTTTTAATTTATCTATTATTTTTTTTTACATTTTTAACATGTTTTACTAGTCGTTTTAAAATGATCTCCTTTACGAATAGAAATACTTTTTATTTGTTCTTTCAATGAAGGTTTTGATAATAACTCGAATTTTGAGAAAAAAAAAAACTTTATTTCGATACTGAATACTTTGAAAAATTATTATTTGAAGAAAAACGAATACATCATACGCTAAAACATTTTTAGTTTGTTTTTTGGAATAATGGTTTTAATAATAAAAACGCTGAGCACTGCTATAAATAGATTTAAATTACTAACACCTATCTAAAGCTAATCTGTGACGTGTGATGTGTAAGCGGTGTTACATAAGTTGACCTAGATTTTGTCAAATTTAAAAAAAAAAATATTGCCCCGGGGTCAGGTACGTGTCACGTGGGTCTGAGCCACACATTGGCGTGACGTCACACTGTCGCTCGATGGGTTGTTGTGTTTAATACAGTAATCAAATCTCACAGCAGTGCAGCTAGCTGAACGCTTGTGGTTCAAGTGATTTGTACGTGCGGTGTCAAAACGGCCAATGACAAAAACGGGCCCTGGTAAAACTACCCCGACAAATCAGTAGCCAATATGTCGTGAGCCCATTTGTCGGGAGCCCATTTGTCCTGAGCCTATCTGTCGGGAGCCAATATGTCGGAAGTCCATTTATCGGGAGCCTAATTATCGGGAGCCCATTTGTCGGGAGCCTATATGTCGCTAGTCAATATGACGTGAGTCAATAAGTCGGGACCCTTTTGACGGGCTATTTTGACTGGGTCGTATTGTTGGGGGTCGATTTGACGGGGTCATATTAACGGGGCCGTTTTGACGGGGCCGATTTGTCCCGGGCCGTTTTGACAGGGCACCGATTTGTACACATCTCACGTCAGTCTACGTGAAAACTTAGCCGAGAACCTCAATTGTGTGAATATAATTTGCTGTTTAAGAGGTAGCGACCTATTCCGGCGCCCGGAGCGAACTGTCAAATTTGCACCCCATTGATTTACAGTTTCTCGCGTTGGCGAAAAATAATCTACTCAACCCCGAACACACACTCACATTTGGAAAGGTTGGGGGCGGTTGTACTAATCACTGTCCCTTGACAGTAATTCATTATGATGTCACACAATCAGTGTTTCTTCCAGACTTTTTTCTCCGGGGGTGCACTTAAAATTTTCGGGGTGGCGGACAACAATTTCCGGGGGGGGGGGGGGGGGCGGACACTGTCAAAAATATATATTTCCTATATAAATTCCATTACGTTTTGGGGGGGGGGGTAGACTTTCTTCGGGGGTCGGTGCCCCCCACGAAGAGATGCCTGGAAGAAACTCTGCACACAATTGATGTAGAAAACAGTTAAATCAGTCGGGAAAGCAAAGTAGTAGTTAATTTTTTAACAGTAAATGTAGCTCTGAATGATTTTTTTAGTTGTTTTATTTTTTTCTACCCCGTTTAGCGATCCTTAGAATGGCACCCTGGGCGGCCGCACCAATCGCCTTTCCCTAGCTACGCCTCTGTTTCTAGATGTAATTGTTAAATTTAGAGAATCTATGCAGGGGAAATGAGATCACCAAGTTCAACGGGTACCTAACCCACGTTAGGAAAGATAAAAGCGGCTGGGTAATGAACGGACCGCGCCAACACTCATACTACCCGTCACGCTTTAAAAGATTAAATCTACTTCACCTGCACTATTGACCTTCAGGTCAAAAAGAATATCTTTACGTTACTTTAAGGGCATGGGCGGGTGATGAGTACCAACTTCCTTATTTCCGAGTCTAAAGATGTAATACTTGGCTAATAGTTATAACTCAAAGAGTTAAGCATAAAAATATTTTTTTTAATTTTTTAAATCTTCCGTTGCCATGGTGACGGCGGCCATATTGGATTTTATTGACGATTTTTAAATGGAAATAACTCAAAAATGGTTTGTACAAATTTCATGAAAACTTAATATAGTCTGCAGACACATGTGTTTAAGACTTCTGATAGATTACATTTTCAAAAAAGAAAATAGTTTTTTTTTTTACTTTTTTTTTTCAAACATTACTGTAAAAATTTCATTATTTCGTCCAATTTTTTCCAAAAGTGTTCTATCAGTTTTATTTGAACATATATAAAGAGTAACTGGAGCAAATTTAGTTCAGTTCTGATAATTATTAACAAAGTTATTTCAACAATTGTACAAAAAAACATCAAACTGAGAAAAACGCAAAAAACTAACAAAAAGTTGCAAAAAATGAACATTTATCGCTGTATGTCACTAAAATCGACCACATATATAGCCTGAAGTATGGTGCTGCTGAATATATTCCTTCTGAGCTTGTTCGGCTGTTAGTTTTCTTTTTTTCTGGCGCTCTTTGTTTTACCTAGAGTTGTAGTAAAGCTGTTGTCATGGCGTGTTTTTGCACGTCCTTCACTGAGTCTTCGACTATGGTTTCCTTCTTTTGACAGCAATGCCATAGCATGCCTGGGCCCAAAATTGAATTATGTTATCGCAGAAACAGCAGTATATTTTGCATGGTCTCATGTCTAAAGCCAATTATGATAAGACGATGTCTTTGTTTATTGTGAAAGGCCTTGTTCTGGATTCTTTTGCAGTTGTATACTTACGGTTTACAACATTTTTATTACTGCCACACCATGATTGAAGCAAACCCTTTACACTTTTTTCATCAATAGTAGCCACTACATCACAGTGTGCGAGGAAATGTATTGATAACATCAAGAAGCAAATCACAGTCGACAATAATTCTGCATGGCTGTGGTTTACAGTTAGTACTACTAGTACTAGATGTAACAGTGCTTTCTTCTGTCTGTAAAAACTGTGTCTTACATTGCCGCAGTTTCTTAGTAAATGTGCATATTACATCTGCACCAGTGCTTGTCTGAATAGTGCAAGATTGAGTAGAGGTAGCTGCAATCAGTTGCATTCGGACGAGCCCTAGCTTTAGTAAATTAGTTAGATGTGTGTATCTATTTTTAGCGAGTGTTTTGTTCTATGCATTATCGAAAGAGAAACAAATTAAATCGTCTCACTGCTTATGATAATTCACACAAACTAATCTAAACTGTTAATAGTATATTTAATTGAAATAATTATGTGTTAAAATAATGTAAGTATTTTACAGAAGCTTAGATAAACAAAACTAGATCAAACTTAGCAACGCGCTGAAACTAAGGGAATGTTTACTTCCGAAGCGAAACGACCAATCGCTAACTAGCTTCCGGCCGTCGTATGCCAATGAAAAAATTGAGGTCAAAAATTTGCATACAGGAAAAACCCGACTGAGTAAAATAAACAACTTTATGACGTAGAAAAATAATCACATTAAAATAGGTATTTTGATTGGTCATTTAATTTTAGAACAAATAAAGAAAAGAGGTCACGGCCTTTCCATTGATATGAAACACATTAGGTTTCCGCGAAGCCTAATAGTACTTTTCTAGGTCGAAAAATTGCTATTTTTACCAAAAAATTAAACAAAAGACCCTGTACACACTACATTGAACCCGGTTTTTCATAATTAAATACTGTTTTTAGGGTCATAACAATGTCATTTTTAGATTCAACGATGGTTATTCTGTATAGATCAAGTAAAAGTGGGAAATCGATGATTTAGTGGATTTATGACGAAAAGTACACCCGCCCATGAAAGTCTACATTATTTAAATTTTAAAAATAAAAAAAAAGTAAAACAAAAAGGAAAGATTCTCTTTAAACTCTTAACGTAGGCAAACTTTTATTTTTAACTTACAATTTTTTTTAAATAAGAAAATATCTCTTCATCTCGTTTTCTAAACGGGTTTCATTGTCAAAATCATAACAAATGAAGCGCGGATTCCAAATATATAACTAAAACAAAATCACCAAGAGTTTCAAAAATGACCTAAAACCACAAAGTAACGTTTCTAAAAATAATCTTACCGGGAAATCTTTACTTTTGTGTTGTGAAGGGCATGTTAAGATGGACAGAAAACTCACTCCCATTTCTGAAAACAAACACGGGAATTACAGAGGTTATCAGGTCTGAGCGAGGGACAGGTCATGCACAAGCACAAGTATCATGCTCAGGATATTTCAAGACTAGGCTTACGTGAATACAAGTAATGTATGCCCTTTAATAAAACCGGAGCATGATTTAAATTAGTTATTGTGATTTACATTAGTACTTGCGTACAACTACGGTTCAAGGCATGTATATATATATATATATATATATATATATATATATATATATATATATATATATATATATATATATATATATATATATATATATATATATATATATAAATATATATTATATATATATATATACCAACTTATATGTCTATGAGGTATTCATCTGAGTGTGTAATATAAACGTGTGTGAATATAAGCTTACTCTAAGGCAGTTTTTAACAAGTTTTTATTATAACAAAACATTTTTTAAAAATGTATTTGCGGCCTCGCGTTAGAAAGCTCTAATGCACGTCGGAAGTAAATGAGTTCAATATTCCTGAGTATACATCTATTTAGGGCTCTCTTATATAGGGCGCCAATTAGAAACATAGTCCTACTTTGTCAGCTGAATGTTATATACTACAAAGTTACAGCCCAAATCTACCACGTTTAAAACAAAAATTGCTAGAAAAAAGTTACAAAACTGCAACACAAATAATAACTTTATAGCTGAAAATATCACAAAATTACACAACGAAGTTGCAAATTTAGACGACAGCTTCAAGAGTTACATAAATCTACAGAGTAGAAAGTTCAGCTTACTTTATCACCTTGGGGTTTCTGTGGGCGTGTCAGGGAAGTCTTTGCCACAAGGGGGGTTGGTTTTCTTGGTAGCAGTTGAACCAAGTATCGTTGGCAGCTGGAAAGGAAATATTATTAAAAGGGGAAGTGGTCGAATGGCAGAGCTAATGACTGCTAATCCGAAACTCTCGAGTTCGGTTCTTAGTTTCGAGTCTGTACGACGTCCTTTTACACCTAATTCTGATGGGTATCCGACTCACTGAAGGAAATAATGTCGGCTGGTCATTAAACTGATGAACTCTACTTCATCTGCTCCATGTGTCTTAGGCACGAACGGAAAAGATTGAGAGATAATAGAAGCAGGGCGTCGTTATTGAGGGTATAAGACCCTCTTCTATCAAAGAAAGACAGCCCATTATTATTTTACATTGACATGACCTTAACATAAAAATAACCATCACAACTAACCTAACCTAATACCACCCCAACCTCAACGCTACCATAATCTCAACACCACCATAACCTCAACACAACCCCAACGCCAACACCGCCACAACACCATCCTATCCCCAACACCACTATAACCACAACACCTCCACAACCCTAACACCACCATAATCCCAACACCACCACAATCCCACAACCTCAACACCACCACAATCCCAATCTTAACCCTAACATCACCATAACCTCAACACCACTATAACCCCAACACCACCCCAACCCCACCATAACCCCAACCACCACCATAACCCCAACACCACCTTAACCCCAACCCCACCATAACCCCAACACCACCATAACCCCCAACACCACCTTAACCCCAACACCACCATAACCCAAACACCACCTTAACCCCAACACCACCATAACCCAACACCACCTTAACCCCAACATCACCATACCCCAACACCACCACAACCCCAACACCACTATAATCCCAACACCACCACAACCCCACAACACCAACACCACCGAACCCTAACACCACCATACCCCAACATCTTCATAACCCCAACACCACCATACCCCAACACCACCATAACCTCAAAAACCACCATAACCCCAACACCACCATAACCCCAACACCACCATAATCTCAACACCAACATAATCTCAACACCATCATAACCTCAACACCCACCATAACCCAACACCACCAAAATCTCAAGTCTATCACACACTTATCCCCTCTCATCCCCTCATTAACCAACCAACCACAAGCCAGATTCAAGTACTCACCTTCTCAAGCGTTGCTGCGGGTTCCTTAAACACATGTGCCCCTGCGTCAATGTGACCATCGCAGCAAGCAGCGTCAAACACAACTACACACATCTGAAGCCTGGAACACATCTCATTAAACCTGCGGAGGATAACACGTCTTGTTACTTCCTGCTCCGACCGAAGGTCTTCATCAGCAAAATAAATTTAAATAGCATGTCCGCGGTTGAGGCAGATTAAATATGTTTTCAAGCCGAATCGGGATAATCAGAAGAAAAATCAAGCATGGATAGATTTGTACTAAAAGTGAGGTTTTGTTAACCGACTTACCTTCCTTACCCCCCCCCCTCTCCCCCTTACCCCACATTGATACAGGTCATGAAAAGTAAAGCGCACTAACATAACGCTGCTAAGCCTTACTTTAAAATACTTTATATGAAAATAGTGTTTTCGACATTTGTGTCCGTAAGAAATACTAAGTAGATACCACGCCACACATAATCACCCTCCTTTCCTCTCCCGCTTCACGTAGTAGTTTTGCTACATAAATCTCAAGCTCCGAACTCTACTTCACCTGTATGACAGTTAGAGACGACGCCTAAACCTAGTCTTTACCATCGCTTTAAATATCAATTGTGGAATGTGGGAAGGATGGGGGGGGGGGGGGGAACGACAACATCACAATGGGGCATCACAATTTTATTGATTTAACAAACATCTAAAATGATTAACTTTACACTTAAACACCAAATTATTTTTAAATAT